GATTATAATAGATAGCCACATAAATATTAGTAAATAAATTTTTTCTCTCCTTATTTAAATGATTTTATACAGTATTGGTAAGTTTTTCTCCACAATGTCAAGGAGACCGTCTAGAAGTTGACATTGTTGTTGACATTGCAGAGAAAAACTTACTAAAATTGAATAAAATCATTCAAATTAGGAGAGAGATAATTTATTTGCTAATATTTATATGGCTATCAATCATGCCACATGTGCACCGTGCACATTATAGCATTGGAGATGCTCTAAGTTGTTTGGAATGAAATCATAGGCAATTTCATGCTAAATTTGTGTCAAATCCGTACCAAATTTATGCCAATCTCAATTTTTTTTGTAGTGAATCAAAATTAACAAATCTTAATTGCCAAGTGAAAGTAAAGTTTTAGAGAAGCAAAATTATTTTAGTACAAAGTTATAAACTCATTGTGACGCATCATCACCTATCAACTTTTGTATGGATCATGTAGACAAATAAATGTTTGGAGACAGAGAATGATAAGGCATACAGAATTTGAGATTGCACAGAAGTGTGAGTCGGTGAGATATTGTGAATGTGAGGTAAAACGTAACGGAATGAAACGAAAAAAGTAGAAAAAAGAATATAACAAAGTCTATATACATACGGTTGATGTATTATTAGGTTTAATCCAAATTTATTATATTGGGCCAAAATTGATGTAATGAGTGTGATTTTTATGTAAATGCCTCATTTGTGGGCCTCTTGACGTATTCCATCCATATGTTCACGTAGTTTACTTTGTCCAATCATATAATATTATTTGTGTGATTGAATATTGATTATTAAATCTAATTGAAGATGACCAATTTTATGATCATAATATGAGCCGCTTTATAATCAATGACTTTAAATAAAGTTTGGTGTCAATTTCTTTCCTAAATCAATTTTTAACACATAAAAACTACTCTTAGTTATATCGTATACTCTTATGTCGGTGACTAATGTTTCGCGGGTAACTAAATGTCAATGGTAACTCGATCGGTACAAAAAATGAATTTTTTACACAGAATATTTTATAGGAAAAATTGATAGTAATAATCCCAACTATTGGTGGTCCGCCTATAATAATCCCAACTATCGATTATTTCAGAATAATCCCAACTTTAGGGACCTTCCGCCAATAATGGTCCCTATAAATAAATTGTTGTAGTTTCTAAAGTGGATGAGAAGAGATATAACAAGTAATCCCTATAAATAATCCCAACTTTTAATTTTTACGCTTAATTTCTATTTAAAATTCACTTTTTATAGGAGGTAATATTTGGTCATGGACCATTATTGGCGGACGGTTCATATAGTTGGGATTATACAAAAATAGTCAATAGTTGGGATTATTATTGGCGGACCGACAATAGTTGAGATTATTATTTTCAATTTTTCCTATTTTATAAAGGAATTAGACATTTTTTAAATTTGGGGTGAGTCGGAACCAAGACAAAATTTAAGGGGGCTAAATAATATTCAAACGCCAAGTGGGAAAGACTATAATCTCTACCACTTTTCGGGTATATATATATATATATATATATATATATATATATATATATATATATATATATATATATATATATATATATATATATATATATATACACACACACACACACATACACAGACATACAATAATTTGACCTAAAATCTAATGCAGGAGAATTGTTTCAATTTTCATGAAGTGACACTTATTTTGACCTATATACAATTCACACACAAGAGCACACATACATACACACACACATACATATCAACTTATTGACATTTATTCATTTTATACCTGTTTTGTTAGTGCCTAAACAAAATAATAGATTTCATTTATCAAGCGAGTTTATTTCAATTTAATATGCTTGTCTTTTTATTTAAAATATCAAAGGATGAAATTGGAATACATCCAAGTAGAAGAAGATAAATTAATACGGTAACTTAAGTTACGGAGTATTAATTTTGTTACTAACTTATAAGTATATACTAGTTTAAGTTACTAACTTATCAAGGAAATAAGAGTTTTGTTTTTCTCTTTTCAAATAAACCTAGTAAATTATTTATTTTTTAAAAGGATATTTGTTTTATTTATGCAAATTTAGTACATAAATCTAATTAAACTTATTCAAAAAAGAAAATTTATTGTTTTTTTAAATGAAACTCTTATATTAAGATCAAAACAGTTTTGAGGGCCTGGGATAAACTGAGTTCAATCTCACTCCATTGAGAATTGAACCTGGGACCTCCCATGAGAGAGAGTGAGTCGGCGACCAGCTAGGCTGGACCGTTTCTCAGTCAGATATTTCAACTATTAAGTATTAACAAGAATTTTTTGCATGTTTCTTACTAAATCAAATAATAAATAAATATTTAAGTTAAAAATCAAGTTGCTTTAACAATTTTCTTTATAAACTGATTATGGAATGATATAGGTCAATCTTTGAAGAGGAAATAAATGGTTAAAAGTGAGTTTTAATGTTATTGTATAAAACAAAAAGTGCAAATAGCATGTCAATATTCGAAAAAGTAAAAAAAAAAAAGATAAATATGTTGAATTGAAAAAATAAAAAATTAAAATAAAAGTAAAAGATATGGAGGAAAAATATTAAAATTAGATTTTAATATTTTACTTTAGGCTCCAAGAGTTGTAAGAGTCAAATAGAGGAAATTTAATATGTAGGTATTAACAGTATTATTATTTCACGTTTCAATGTACCGCATAATAAAAAAACACATATATAAATAAAATAAAGACTATCTCTTTTAAAATAATCAAACAACATGAATGTAAATTCATTTATCCTTAAAGTGATTTTGTGTTTCTAATCGCTTTTTTATATTTAAACAAATTATTGTACGAGACTTCCAATATAAAACTATATGGAGATACTGATGTTTTTAGTATATACCAATAATGTGCAAAGTAATTCAATACAACTAACATCATACCATAATAAAAACACTGATGCCAAAAATTCCCATCAATTCATTATTTTTCAATACATAAATACGGTTCATCTAAGTTCTAGTGCTTCCCCACCCAAGTCCCTTGTACATACATTTATGCCATAGATTTGAATTTTTTTTATCTTTCAATGCCAATTTCTATCACATTTGATGTGCAATATAGAATATTTATTAAATTTGATATTTTGGGAAAAGAATCTAAAACATAAATTTGTCGAGAATAAAAGAGAAACAAAATTATTGGGTGGACCATGTAGGCAAATTAAATAAATGTTTGGAGAAAAAGAAGATAAGACATACAGAATTTGAGATTGCACAGAAGTGTGAGTCGGTGATGTACTGCGAATGTGAGTTAAAGCGCAACGGAGTGAAACGAAGAAAGTATAAAAGAGTGTATAACAATGTCTGTATACACAAGGTTGATGTATTATTAGCTAGGTTTAATAAAAAATTATTGTATTGGGCCAAAGTTGTCATGATAAGTTTGATTTTTAGGTAAATGCCTCGTTCGTGGGCCTCTTGACGTATTCCATTCATATGTTTCTCTGGTTTGCTTTGTCAAATCATATGATATTATTTGTGATTGGATATTAGTAAATAAATCTAATTGAAGATCCCCAATTTTATGATCATAATATGAACCATTATCTAAGCAAGGACTTACATTAAAGTTTGGTGTCAATTTCTTCCATATATCAAATTTTAACACATAAAAACTACACTTTCTTATATCGTATACTCATATGTCGATGACTCGATGTTTTACGGGTAACTAAATGTCAATGAGTGAAAACATTGATGCAATGGTAACAGGGACAGAGCCAAGGCACTTGATAGGTACAAAGAATAATTTTGAATTTTTTTTTTACACAGAATTTTTTATAAATAAATTACACTTTTTTAAAATTTGGGGTGGATCCGGGTGGGTCGGAAACAGAACAAAATTTGAGGGGGGCTAAAAAAATTCAAACCGCCAGGTCGGAAAGACTATAATCTCTACCGCTTTTTGGGTATATTTATAGTAATTTTATATCAAATCTAATGCAGAAGAATTATTTCCATTTTCGTGAACTGACATTTATTTTGAGCTATATATAATTCACACACAAGAGCATACATACATACACATACATATCAACTTAAATATAGACATTTATTCATTTTTATACCTGTTTTGGTAGTGCCTAAACAAAATAATAGACTTCGTTTATCAAGCGAGTTTATTTCAATTTCATATGCTTGTCCTTTTTTTTTTATTATAAAATATCAAAGGTTTAAATTGGAATAAACCCAAACAAGTAGTGAAGATAAATTAGTACTCCCTCCATTTCGAATTGTAAGACACTTTACGGTTTACGATGTTTGACCAATGATAAAACAAACAGATTCTTGTCTGCACTCAAATTATTTTTTAGAAAAATTAAATTACGTATTCAGAAACTACATTAAAAACTTTACAAAGTCGCAAAAACATAATCAAATTTGATAACAATTTGACATATAAAGTAAGATATTAAGAGTAATTTGTATTGATCAAATGAATAGGAAAAATATCTTACAAGATGAGACTGAGGGAGTATCTTATAAGTTACTAACTTATCAAGAAAATAATAATTTTTTTTCTCTTTTTAAATAAACCTAGTAAGTTATATATTTTTTAAAAGGATATATATTTTATTTATGCAAATTTAGTATATGAAGCTAATTATACTTATTCAAAAAAGAAAATCTAATTATACTCATATAAAGTCCCACCAGTTGTACCCAAAATTTGCGAAACAAATTTTAAGTATATACGTAAAATTGATCACAAATAATAATATATGAGAATATCGAATAGAATATCTAAATATGAATCCTGATTCTTCACTTGCAATTTCAAATAAATTGGCTTATTTGAAAAAAGCCTTTGCCTTCGGAAGATTTATATAAGTATATATAATTAAGAATCTGGGCATATATATAGATTTATCTAAGCATGTTGAAGATTTATCAATTTACACTCAAATCTGGGCCACGAGTTTCTCGAGATTAAAGCTTAATGAATTTGGCAGCATTCTTTTTTGAGGAAAATCTAATTCCGAAACATTTTAAGCATGCGGGAACAAGAGTGAAGGTAATCAAATGGCAGAAACCGTTAGCTCAAGGGCGGACCATAGTAGAGATCCAGGGACAGTGGCCTCTCCAGCAATTTTTTTTAGTATATATATATATATATAAATAATTTTCACCCTTTCAAAAAATATATTTTTTAAGTTAACACCCTCCCAAGATAAACTTCTCGGGTCCGCCCCTGCTTGAGCTTAAAACTGAATATGAGAGATCGAAGAGGCGAGATGTTGTTTGCTCTGTCTTTCTCGTTGCAAGCTTCATCAAGCGTGGAGGCTGAGCTCCTGGCAGTGGTGATAGCTACGATTTGGTCGATGAATGCTTTCAAGTGGAGTGGAAATGGACTCCTCGATTGCTTGAGCTACATTAAAGATGGTGGTTTTGGTAGATGGTCTAATGCGATTAAGGAAATGACACTCCTCTCAAATAGGAAAGGGGTTTTGTTCAGACAGGTGTGGCGAGAGAGTAATTGGACAGCCCGCTACTTAGCAGCTCATAAACCGGCCCATCTTACACCTTTCTTTGATATGTATCAACTACGTGGGCCGGTCCGCAAGGCATATTACATGGATCTTTTTGGAATCCCTTCTGTTAGTTTTTCTGTTTTTATTGGTTACTATCTTTGTATTATATAAGTTGGGTGAGGTCTAGCCCCCCCAATTTTTATATACTTTTCTATTTCTCTTATCTGTTGTTTTTCAAGAAGGTACACCTTCTTTAGAGATGTCTTGACATAGTCTCTCTTTTTGTACTTTCTTTCCATTTTTAATAAAATTCCGCATATGTTCTCCAACAATTGTCCCACCGATTTTGGGGGTTTGCCTACCGGGTTATAAAAAAAATTAGACATTTCAAATATTAACAAGAAAATTTGGCATATTCGTACTAAATAAAAGAATAAATAAATAGTTACGTTAAAATTCAAGTTGCTTTAAAACTTTCTTAGGAAAATTGTCAAATAGGTCCTCGAACTTTCATAAAAAAGTCAAATAAGTCCTTATCTAGGAGGCCATGTCCGGCTGTCGCGATTTGGGGGGGTTCCCGGTGGATTTTTTTGATGAATTTTTTTGAGCATCTTATTCATCAAGTCTAGTTTACTCATACCAAATTTCAGCTAAACCTTCAATCGAGAAAAAAATGGTTAAAATAGCATGTAAAAAAAGATAATATGTTGAATTGGAAAAGCCAATTATTTATCTGTGCAGTTAAATGAGCAATTATCTTCAAGAGGGAATAAATGGTTAAAAGCCAATTTTTAATGGTATTGTATTAAACAAAAAGTGTAAATAGCATGTAAAAAAAAGATAATATGTTGAATTGGAAAAATAAAAATGTAAAATAACACTAAAAGATATGGAGAAAATTTTTTAAAACTAATAAGGCTCCAAAAGAGTTATAAGGATGTTTTTACTTAGATTGTAATTTGCTGGTCTGATCTGGTCTGGTCTGGTAATGTCTGGTCTCTTTGTATTTTTATTAGGGGTGAGCATGGGACGGTACGAGACGGTTATTTCAAAAAACCTGTCACGTCCCAAAGTACGGTTCTTTTAAAAATCAAGAACCGGTACCATCCCACATATATATAGAACTTGTCCCGTTCTGTACCAATTTTTAGTACGGTTCGGTACGGTTCGGTATGGTTCTCCGGTGTTATTTGGTTCCTAAATAATTAACCCCATGAAATATAATTAACCCTATTTACGTAGCATTGTTTATATCATTTAGTATTGTTTTTATTTTAAAGCTAACTTTTAGTGCTGTCTTGTCTTAATAATTGGATTACGCCCAAAGAATATGCAAGATTGCATATTTGTAATATATAGACATACGGTCACTAATATTTATACTCGGTAATATATTATATATAATATATTATTATTATATTATAACACTAGTTTTCGGGACATACGGTCACTAACATTTATACTTGGTAATATATTATGTATAATATATTATTATATTATAAACACTAGTTTTCGGGACAATTCGGGACAGTACGAGACGGTTTGGTTCAATACAATTTCGGGACAGTTCCGGGACGGTTCTCACTAAGAACCGGTACCGTACCATATTATTAAAAAAGCTCGGTACGGTACGGTATTACATTTTTCCGGTTCTTTCGGTTCTGGAACGGTACGAGGTGGTTCTTCGGTACGGAACGGGAATTCCCAGATCCGCGCTCAGCCCTAATTGTTATAACTATTCAAGTCTGATATGGTCTGATCTGGTCTGATTTAGTCTGGAACATATTACCGTCCCAGTAAAAACATCATAAGAGTCCAATAGAGAAAATTTAATACATAGGTATTAACAATATTAATATTTCATATTTCAATGTAACACATAATAAAAACAACACGGGTATTAAAAAATACGGAGTAACAACTATCCCCTTTTTAAGATAATCAAACAACACGAATATAAATTCATTTGTCCTTAATGTGATGTTGTGTTTCTAATCACTTTTATATATTTAAACAAATTACTGTACGAGACTTTCAATACTCCGTATAAAACTATATCGAGATACTGATGTTTTTAGTGTATACCAATATTGTGTCAAAAGTAATTCGATACAACATCACACAATAATGAAAACACTGATACCAAAACGTACTTCCAGTCAATTCATTATTTTTTGATACATAAATATGGTTCATGGGGTTCATCTAAGTTTCAAACACTTCCCCACCCAAGTCCCTTGTACATACATTTGTGCCATATGTTTCAAGCTTATAATCTTTCACTATCAATTTCTTTCACATTTGATGTGCAATATAGAATACTCCGTATATGTTAAATTTGATATTTTGGGGAAAAAATCTAAAACATAAATTTGTCAAAAATAAAAGAGAAAAAAATATATTTTAGTTCAAAGTTATAAGCTCGTAGAGACGGAGCATCATCTATATATGGATCATTTAGGCAAATAAATGTTTGGAGATAAAGAAGGACAAAACATACAGAATTTGTGATTGCACAAAAGTGTGAGTCGATGATATTATTTATGTGATTGGATATTAGTTATTAAATCTAATTGAAGATCACCAATTTTATGATCATAATATGATATAATTTATAAGCAATGACTTTCAATAATGTTTGGTGTCGATTTCTTTCCTATATCAAAATTTAACACATATAACTACTCTTAGTTGTATCATATTCGCATATGTCGATGACTCGATGTTTTACGGCTAACTAAATGTCAATAATTAAAAATATTGATACAATGGTAAAAGGGGGCGGGGCTAGGGCACTCACCGACACAAAAAATATTTTTGAATTGTTTATTACACTGAATTTGTCATAAAAATATTAGACTTTTTTAAAATTTGGGGTGAGTCGGGGTGGGTCGGAACCTGAACAAAATTTGAGGGGGGCTAAAAAAATCAAACCACCAGGTTGGAAAGACTATGGTCTTTACCGCCTTTTGGGTATATTTTCAGTAATTTGATCTAAATCTAATGGAGAAGAATTATTTCAATTTTCATGAAGTGACACTTATTTTGACCTATATACAATTGACACACAATAGCTCACATACATACACATACATATAAGCATCAACTTAATTGTAGTCATTTATTCATTTTTATACCTCTTTTGTTAATACATATGAACGATAGTATATAATAAATTTGATATTTTGGGAAAAGAGCCAAAAGAGCGTATAATGAAAACAACGATGGAGTTACTTACTTCCGAGACGCTGGATGAAAGGATGAATCTTCTATCAAGGGAGACGACACCCTTCACTGTCGATGAACTCTCTCGAATCACTCTTCTTGAACCCTAGGTCTCAACACGAATATGCGGAATATTTGGATTATTATGTTCCGCATGCACTTATTCTCTTTTATTGGAAGCTAGCTTTCTCTACATGGACCCGGGCCTGATAATGCAGCCCATTTTTACCCCTTTATAATTTTCCATTTTATGGTTTCACATGGAAACACATTTAGATTCCCTTACACACAATTTTGGTTCTGAACATTCTGTAATTTTCATCCATTTTAATAAAAAAAAATTGGTAAATGTTACCCGACATTTATCACACCCAACTATGGGTGGTTCTTGGGCGGTTTTTTTTTTTTTTGATATTTTGGGAAAAGAATCTAAAACATAAATTTGTCGAGAATAACAGAGAAACCAAATTATTTTAATACAAAGTTGTAAACTCATAGTGAGGTAGCATCATCTATCAACTCATGTGGATCATGTAGGCAAATCAATATTTGGAGATAAAGAAGGATAAGACATACATAATTTGAGATTGCAATGAAGTGTGAGATGGTGAGATACTATGAATGTGAGTTAAAGCGCGGCACAGTGAAACGAAGAAAGTAGAAAAGAGAGTATAACAAAGTCTTACATAGGGTTGAGGTATTATAAGGTTTAAACCAAAATTATTATATTGGGACAACATTGATGTAGTAAGTGTGATTTTTATGTAAATGCCTTATTTGCGGGCGTGTTGATGTATTCCACCCATATGTTCCCCTTGTTTGCTTTTTCAAATCATATGATATTATTTGTGTGATTAGGTATTAGTTATTAATTCTAATTGTAGATAATCCATTTTTGATCATAATATGAACCATTTCATAAGCAATGACTTTAAATAAAGTTTGGTGTCAATTTCTTTCCTATTATCAAACTTCAACACATAAAAACTTCTCTTAGTTATATCATATACTCATATGTCGATGACTCGATGTTTTACAGGTAACTAAATTTCAATGATTAAAAACATCGATACAATGGCAACAGGGGTGGAGTTAGGGCACTCAACCGGTACAGAAAATTGAAATTTTTTTACATTGAATTTTATATTAAAAATTAGACATTTTTAGAATTTGGGGTGGATCAGGGTGGGTCATAATCAGAACAAAAAATGAGGAGGGCTAAAAAAAATTCAAACCCCCGGGTGGGAAGACTATAATCTCTAGAGAGAATTATCTAAATAGGAGTAAAAAAGGTTTTCACCTATATATAATTGAGTGAAAATTATATAGACAAGAGCACACGTACATATACATATAAACATAAATATAGACATTTATTTATTTTTATACATGTTTTGTTTGTGCCTAAACAAAATAATAGACTTTGTTTACCAAGTGAGTTTATTTCAATTTAGTATGCATGTCCTTTTATTTTAAAAAATCAAAGGTTTAAATTGGAATACTGCTAAACAAGTAGAGGAAGATAAATTAATAACTTGTATATACTAGTACAAGTTACCAACTTATCAAGAAAATAATAATATTATTTTTCTCTTTTCAAATAAACCTAGTAAGTTATTTAGTTTTTAAAAGGATATTCTTTTTATTTCTGCAAATTTAGTACATAAATCTAATTATACTTATTCAAAAAAGAAAATCTAATTATACTCATATAAAGTCAGATATTTCAAAATTTAACAAGAAATTTTGGCATATTTTTACTAAATTAATAAATAGTTATGTTAATATTCAATTGCTTTAAAAAATTATTTTATAAACGGCTTATAAAATCATACAGGTCAATGTTTGAAGAGGGAATAAATGGTCAAAAGTCACTTTTTAATTGTATTACACAAAAAGTGTGAATATCATATCAATATTCGAAAAAGTAAAAGTAAAAAAGATAAATATGTTAAATTGGAAAAATAAAATATAAAATAACGCTAAAAGATATGGAGTAAAATATTAAAACTAATAAGGCTCCAAAGAGTTATAAGAGTCAAATAGAGGAAATTTAAACCATCACTATTACTCCAACTATTAGTCTAGCTT